TGTGGCAACTACAGGGACAGAAACGGTCAGGTCATCAGCATACTTAATGAAGTTAACTTTGGGTGAGTTCGGAAGGTCATGCAGAAAGAAAGAGAAAAGAAATGGAGAAAGTACTGCACCTTGAGGCACACCACTTTCAGTTAGCTGGGAAGTGGAGCGCTTTCCAGCCAAAACAGTATGCTGTTTCCTATCCTTAAAATAAGAAGACAGCCATCTAGTTGCCCAGGACTCTGTTTGAGCTGAAATCATCTTTCCTAATAAAAGTGTCCTAGGAACAGAGTCGAAAGCTGCAGTATAGTCTAAAAAAGCTGTTCGAACGAACTTAGCACCCTTATCAAGGCAGGAAACAATATTGTGGTGTAGTACAATGGCTGCATCTAATGTACTTCTTCCACACTTATAAGCAAACTGCTTAGGGTCATTAAAAGCTTTTAAAGAAGGTTTAAGAATATTCAAAAGAAGTTTCTCCATAGTTTTCAAAAAAGGAGATGTTATAGCGACTGGTCTAAACTTTATACCTGCTCCAGAAGATGATTTCTGTACAGGTACAACCTTGATTTCTTTCCAGTCAGCAGGTACCGTTTCCCTCTTAAATGATGCGTTAAAGATTTGAGTAAGAGGATGACACAAGATGTCTGCACACTTTTGGAGAAGAATGCTTGGTACACCATCTGGACCAAGGCTGTGTGTTGGATTTAATGACTTCAAACATAATAGTACATCCTTTTCTTCAAAACCCTGAAAATGACCATTTTCTTGACTAGGTACATCAGGTACAACCATATTAATTTGTTTCTTGATAAATGATTTGTTTAAAGCATTTACATCAGAATAAGCATCAACGGACATTTGTTTTTTACTTGTTAGTTTATTGAAAAGTTTCCAAATGTTTGAAGGATTTTTACATGATAAAAATTTTTCATTATATAGTCTGTTCAACCTTTCTATTTCAATTTTTATAAGGGTGTTTATTTTACGGACACCAGTATTATCACAATTCTTATACAACTTCTCTTTTTGTCTTCTAAGTTTTTTCAGTTGCAAAGAAGAGATTCTGTCAAATCTCGAAAACAGTGTTTCATAAGGACAGCAAATATCCAAACAAAACTTCAGATAATCGGTTATATTAGAGACAGTAGCATCCAACTTATCGTCAGTAAACAGTTCCCAGTTGGTATCATGCAACATGCTTCTTAATGCTAGAATGTTGTCATGGGAATATGAACGTTCATGTATCTTCTTTGTTAAATGACTAAACAATTTTCGTTGTAACTTGCCGTACACTTTCGGTAAAATACGAATAATGCAGTGGTCAGAATTTAGCAAAGGAGCTCTCCTTCGGGTTTCATATACATCACGGTCATTTATGAAAACCAGGTCTAGTGATTTGTCCAGACGTGTATTAAACTTGACTAGATTCTCATGACCAAGCGAAGTAAGAAAGCTGTGATCACATAAATTAAAATCACCACAGACTATAGACAACGAGTTTCCGAATGCAGGAGCAGCGAATTCAGTAAACTCATCTGCAAACATAACTATATTAGAAAGGCTACAATTGGGTGTTATGTAAATATTTGTTATGTATATATAAGAATATTTACTTAAGTGTTTTGGGCGACACCTGACGGTTATGCAATCTATACTGTCATTAGAATAATTGAAGCAAACGTGATTTGATGTAGACCAATTTGTGTTTATATATGTGGCTACCCCTCCTCCATATTTTTTCTTGGAACTATTTCTATCTTGGCGAAAAACTTTATATCCATTTATTGAAATTAGATTATCATCATAATGCTGGTGCAGCCAAGTCTCTTGTATTGCTAAAACGCCAGCATTTCGATAAACATTGGAATACATTAGGGATTGAAGGTAATCCATTTTGTTGGACAGGGATCTACAATTAGTGCTAACGAGTTCAGGAACAGTCATTTGATTAATTTGTGTACGTTTCAGTGCACGCTGCCAGCCACAGTGATGCTTTTTTCTCAATTTTTGTGGATGACACAACGCGGTAGGTTGTAATGATTTTAAAAATGCGCGATTATATATAATACGATTAGGACACATTATTGATAAATTAAAACAAAATTAAAAGAGCAAACCAAAGCAATTTTGCAAAATGTTGTAAGGTGGAATTTTTGGTAGCCCTATGTTCAAGCAGGCCGCCTAACCAACCAACCTGGGGGCACGCGCCATAGTAGGCCCAAACGGTCAATATCTCACTGGTCTGGAGATGGCTGAAACATTCAGTTCAGCCTTCGCCAAACAGCTAAACAGCGATGTGGATATTACAGTTACGGACCAAAATGGTGGCACCACTATTTCACAGGAGGAAGACCTAGTGGCTACTCCCCAAATAAACCCCGCAATAATACTGAGGAATCTACAGCGACTCACACCTGGGAAGTCCCCAGGTTGTGACAATATCAGGCCATCTGTTCTAAAACAGTGCGCCGAAGCTCTCCGTAGGCCCCTCTGTGACTTGTTCCAACACTCAATGAATTCGGGGATCTGCCAAGGGAGTGGAAAAGATCCATCCTTTCTCCGATCCTCAAGGGTGGGGATAGGCAAAATGCCACTAGTTATAGACCAGTAACTCCACTCCCAGTGGTATCAAAAGTACTGGAATGTATTATTGACGATCACATTGGGGAATATCTCGATAGGTCTAATAATAATAATAATAATAATAGTATATTCTCATTTTGTACATGAGAGACGCCAGTTTACAGGCATCATCAATATGATAAATTACATATACGATTAGCAATCATAATTAATAATAATGTTTTAATAAAGTACACATTTTTTCCTACTTGTGTAGGACACACCAAATATACAGGCATGGATAAGCATTAATTAAATTTCATAAATTCGGTTTATGGTTAAGTTACATGGTTGCTGGCGTTTTTGTTTTAATAATAATTATAATAATGTATATTCTCATATAAACATATAAATTTACATGAAAATGCATGCCATTTTTTTAGGTCTGTGGGAACAATATGATAACCAGTCATTCAATGGAGCACATCATGAAATATAGGAATGTTGACTTCGCATTAACAAAAAAACCCAAGTAAGTTTCGGATGGATTAAAAATACTTGGGAAAAAAAAAAGCTTGAAGTTATTCCACAATATAACAAGTCATTCAATGGAGCACATCATGAAATATAGGAATGTTGTCTTCGCATTAACAAAAAAACCCAAGTAAGTTTTGGATGGATAAAAAATACTTGGGAAAAAATAAAGCTTGAAGTAATTCCTCAATATAACCTGGGTGTGTACAAATCCGAATCTCATTTTTGATTTGATATATATCCAAATTGGGTAATAAGGAAGCTATTTTTACAGATACGATCAGTTATGTTATAAGCTACAATCGTGAAGTTGTATTACAAATTGATACTTTTCCATTGGTATAAGAGTATATTCCACAAATGTAATCCACAAATGTAATCCAGGTTGCGTCGTGGAGAAAGTTAATTCGTTATTAACCAGGCAACTGAAAGATACGGGACCAATAATGTTTGCAGATCATTTGTCATTGTAAATGGTCAAATATCCACATTATTCATTCTCATTCAAAAAGTCAAATGGAAGCTGAAATGGTGAGAGAAAAAAGAAGACAAACAACAGCAACGCAAAAGAAAGCAACGGGAGTCCTTAAGGAGTGATTAATAAATATACATATATATATTCTCTTTAGTAACTGTGGTTATTTTGGTACACAAACTAACTAGTCCCGTTATGCTAACTTTTATATTATGTGTGAACTAATATTACTGTTCTGTGTAGAAATGTTAATCATCTAGTTCCAATAATATTAAAATTTATAATTGTAGTTTGCTGTAACTACACGTTTAAAGAACTTAAAATATCTATGTAGGGTGAAAAAGAGGGTGTAAGAGTTAGACGTATAAGTGCATTGTCATCTTTGAGCAGTCTGGTGACTGAGGAGATGAACACTGGAAGTGTGTTTGCATCGCGCACATTAGCTGGTAGTCTATTCCAAATGACTGAAAACTTATTTAAGAAGAAGTTGTACCGCACGTAAGTCTGACAGTGCTCTATAGCAGCTAGGTTGTGATGATTTCTAAGATTGTAACTGACGACAGCGGTAGGTTTAGTTAATGGCTCGGAGGAATGCAAGAGAAGATTAGTTAGCTTATAGTAAAAGATTAGGTTTAGCTTAAGGCGTCTTTTCCAGAGGGGTTCTAATCTTAGTCTTACGCATCTCTCATGGTATTCCAGACTACTTTCTAAACCAATATACTCCATGAAGCCCAACACGGTTTCAGGAAAGGCAGATCCTGCGTTACTAACCTACTATCAGCTTGGGACGATTGGACATCATGCTGGGATATGAATGCTCCAGTCAATGTGGTCTTCCTAGACTTTCAGAAGGCATTTGATACTGTTCACCATAACCTTCTCCTACATAAAATAAGCCAGGCAAGTATAGGTGAACCACTTCTGTCATGGTGAAAGGACTACCTAGCTGACAGGCAATTTCGCACTAAGGTCAATCGAGTCTGATCATCTTGGCACAGCACGTCATCAGGAGTGTCGCAGGGTTTTATCCTAGGACCACTGATGTTTTTGATTTTTATCAATGATCTACCATGCCGTCTAAGGTGCCCGACTCACCTATACGCTGACGACGTAAAAATATGGAGGGCGATAAAGTGTCCGGAGGACTCAGATAGACTGCAGGAAGATCTAAACCCTCTGGAAGACTGAGTGGTGGCCAGTGGCATGACTTTCAACCTGAAAAGTGCAAATTAGTGAAGTTGCGCACCTGCAGACTGCGGAATGCAAGTTACACCATGTGCAATAAAGCTACGCAGAAGTTTACCGAAGATCAGGAACCTATACCTCACAATCAAGAGGTGAGCACAAAGAAATCAAATTGGTTTGTACTAGCTCGTAAAAACGATATTGGGTATTGGAAGTTGGCTTACAATAGCTCGAAAACACAATATCGTAAATTGTGCACAGTTTGAAGGAGGCGTTACAGACGCAACCTTGTGAGTGCAGCGTTTTGGTTGTTTTTTGGTACCAGGCTCAAAATACATTCGCATTTATAAGTAAAGTAAATGCGGTCATTCAATTATGACGAGCATTCAAGATTCAGATGCTGAGGTGCAGGTCCAGCGTCGTAATAAAGGGATAGTAGGGGAGTCTTCGAAGTGGTTGACTCTAAAGTTTTGTTTTAGAATTTGATTGAAAGGTTACATAGCAGAGCCAGTACCACATGGTCAGATAAGGAGTCTTAGTCTTTAACCAACCACATAAGAATTCGAATTTCACATTTATCTTTTTTAAACATGCAGTCTACAGTACAGATCTGTACTGTTGACAGTATATATATATATATATATATATATATATATATATATATATGCGACTGTACAGTTTGAGAATAATACCAGTGAAGGGAGTAACTCCTCGCTGTACGCCTTCCCCTTCATAAGTAGAGATTTGATTGCTATTTTATGCTCTGTTCGACTCTGTGTAGTGTTGCGATTTAATCCGCGCACATGATTAGCTTTTCATGATTGCAGCTTATTGCGGGAAAAGTTTGCATCAGAAACACCTTTCTATTTCTCCAGAATATTATGACTTAGTATTTAAGTATTGGTTTGTAGTGATTTGGTTGATTGGTTACAGGATTTCATCATGAGCTGACATTGGTTAGAAAACAATTGGAAAACCTGCAGGGAGTACTGGACATCTGTTTCGTCCTAGTTTGGTCCTAGTCCTCGACAGCAAAACAGCAGTCCAGTACTCCATAGTTTTCCAATGATTTAATATTTATTTTCAGTGGATAAAAACATAATTCCGCGCTAGTTTTCGCTGTCCTAAGTCTCTCTTTTTTGGTAGTTAACAATTGTCTGTAAGTTTCAGAACTGAAAAACATTTACATCACATGAATTAAACGTTATTTCTACTGAAAGTAGTCTGATTTAAAACAGTTTTATCGTTGAGTGTTACAAAACAAATGTGTTTTGACGGTTTCATGATAGTAGAAACCCAATGAATAAGCGTTCTAGTATGTAATCTTCATCAGCAATGTAAAGTTCGTAACTGTTATCAGAAATGCGTTGGATGATGGTATGTGACGATATATTCACCAAAAACACGGAACTAACAAGCAATACCAGATAATCCTTTTTTATTGAAAAGAAATGTGTGCTTTTGCTCAACTAGTATTTTTTTTAAAGAAACTTTGTCTAGTCTAGAATTCTGAGTGTACTATGTATGGCTTCATTTACCATTGGCCGACTTTTGCTTTTGATGACTCAACAGTATACGTTTACCTTATGGGCATAAACATCCAACTCTGAGCGTATGTATCCTTGGGTTCAAATCCATATCCTCCATATCTACTTCAGCTTGTGGAAACTGAGTAGTAGCATCATCCCTCCTATACAATAAATGTGGCTCATAGTTGTTGAACATAAAAGACCTTTGCAATGAAATGAGGTCAAACTGAACAATATTTATATTAGCTAATTGTTTGGAAGCTGATACCATATTGTAGAATACTTTGGATGGTATTATATGCATACTGCTTACTGATTTCATGTTCTATTAAGAAAAATATCGTTCTCTTTGTTTACAGCTGAAGGAAGGGATGATTCTGACAGACTGGTCGTGGGATTTTGTTTTTTTTCGCTACCTCCTAGTGTTCATGGCATTATTCGCCGTCTACATACTTCCACTGTTGAAAGTTTTCTTCAATTATACAATTGGGAAAATATTATTTTCAAAAAGAAAACAATTAAAGCGTGCAGGTGAATGGGCTATAGTGACAGGGGCTACGGATGGAATAGGTAAAGCTTATGCTGAACAACTGGCTAAAGATGGCTTAAACATTATGCTGATTAGTAGAAATTTAGAGAAATTGAGTAAAGTTGCTAAAGAGATTGAATCTTCTTATGGAGTGAAAACACGTGTTGTTGTCGCCGACTTTACAAAGGTGAGTTATCTTGCATTTTTGTAATATTTACTGAATATAGTCAAGTATTTGTAAAACAGGCTAATTGTAAGCGTGGTGAGTACCTAACCCAGAGGTTCTTGGTAAGATCGTAAACACGCTCTACTACTTATGTGTCATTAATCCCGATTCGATTCCGGGCCAACGCATACTCTTAAACCTCTCCTAGTTTACTTACGAATAGTGAGGTCGGAAACGAGGGAGGATTGAGTGTAAGACTGGCAACCCCACTCCATAAAGTCAATACCACCGCTACTAATATTTAAAAGACGTGAAGCTTACTCGAAACGAAAGGTAGGAAAAATATGACAATATGATCTAGCATTGTGTATTGCGTAAATAAAGAATTAGGAGTAGATGTTTAGTTGTACTGGACTGTCGCATTTTCACGCAGGTTGTCGATTTCTGAGTGTGCAAATTTTGTTCCAGCTTTTGTGTTTTCAATGTAGATTATTCATGCTTATTTGTATCTTTCAGTCAGGAGTATTTTCAACATTTATGTGACTGATGCCATCACTGGGGTCTAGTTACTAGGTTTTAACCTAAAGTGAAACACTAAAACAAACATGAAATACTTCAATTGAATTATTCATGCATATTTATAATCCCCTGTTTATTCTATCAACCTTGTTCCGGAATATAGGCGGGCACGTTGAACGGATGCCTTCGTATGATCAGGATGGATAACCCACAGTTACTCATCTTATCGATGTCTAGCAGTAGAATTCAGGACACATTCATTTCGTTCTGTTTAAGATTGGTCAGCTGGCTGTAATTATTCCCCAGTGGGGTTTGAACCAAACACTCATCGTGCCAAATTCTTTAAAGGCGTTACTCATTAAGGCACCAAATTGAAGTCTAGCCACTTGGACTGGAATTCAATCACGCATAACTTCTAACTTCTGTCAGTTCGTGACATAACTGTTGCCTCTGTATAAGTTAGCACTTGAAAAGTTGTCATTTTATCATGAAATTTGTTTCAATCACTTTTCACTTTTTCTCCTTTTTTATTATAGAATAATATTTATGAATCAATTGAAAAAGAAATCGCCAGTCTGTCATCTATTGCTTGTTTAGTAAACAATGTTGGCATGAGTTATCCACACTTTGATGATTATGCCAGGGCTAAATTTATGAATTGTAATTTTATACAAGATATGATCACGTGTAATACACACTCGATCGCTGTAATGACGTATTTAGTCCTTTCAAGGTTATTAAAGCAAAAATCGGGAACTAGTTCAGCCATTATAAATATCGCCTCATATGCCGGTACTGTGACAACACCATTTGGTTCATTGTATGGTGCGACAAAAGCTTTTATTTATCATTTTTCTCAGTCGATTGCAGCGGAACTCCGTCTGTCGTCGTCATCATCATCGAAAACAACAAAAAGTGGTCAAAACGTTATCATACAAACAGTTTGTCCACTTTTTGTTGTCACAGCTATGTCACGAGTTGAACGACCCTCGTTGTTTATCCCAACACCCAGTGACTATGTCAATAGTGCGTTGAATATGTTAGGCGTAGAAGAATTGACAATGGGTTATTTTACACATGCATTACAAGGCTACTTCTTCAATATAATACCTCTTTCTTGGAAACATGATAAATGTAAGAAAATGGTGGAGAAAGGACGTAAGAAATTCGAATAAAAGCGGAGAAGACAAAAGAAGGCGTGGAGAAGGAACTTCTCATCTTATTGCTTCTGTTGTATAACAGTCTCTTACTATTCTCCTTTTTCTTCATTTTGTTGTTGTTGTCGTCATTGATCATTGAATATTCAAGTTTTAATGGCCTTGTTTTAAATGAACACTTGTTTGAATTGTCTGTGGTGTGTGTGTGTGTGTGAGTGGGTACATATGAAATCATACCTGGGAGAGAAGAGTCTCCTTATTCTTCTTCATGAATTCCTTTTTAATTATACTATTTATATCCCAACCTATTTTGTGATGTGCAAATATACTTAAATTTGATTTTGACACACTATTATGTTTGTCATAATTGTGGAGTGTTTTATACTATGTGAATGTAGACGAAGTCAAGGTTAACCTTGTGTAGTTGAATTTTCTATTAAATAGCCATTCGAAGTGCCATATATTATGAGAACGTTAGCTGTTTTCGACCGTAGGTGTTTGCGTTCTATCTCCCGTGTCGACTGGTATAATAGGGTGAGTAATATTGAGGTGGGGGGGTGAAGAGTTAGGTAAGGAGGAGAAGTATATCGATGAGGTTGTCAAGGTAAATTGATTAAGATGAGATGGCGAGGACAGGTGTTGTAGTTGGCGAACTGTCGCCTTCCTCAAAGAGCAATACCAGCTAATGTAGGATTAGGTTGGTGGGGAATCCACCACAGTCTTACAGTAGGTTGAACAGCTCACTGGTAATGCCACTCACTGACTTTTAGCACCGGATGACACAGGTGTGAATTCTAGAAGGTATCCGAATTCATTGAAGATGTCAGATATGATCTGATGACGGAACCAAGGTTGGATAGGGCCTCCAGTGGCCGATCGCCTCCAATCATCTAATATCAACTCATTCAGATCGTACTGTGATAGTGAGCCACCTATCATGGTGGCCACATTGCAAGTTTCACTGATAGGAGGATTCACTCTGTACCAAACTGTGGACTAGACGCGTGATCAATGAAATGAAGGTTGTATTTGTGTTTGATGATGGTAACCGATATGTCCAGTTATTGGGGAACTACTCGAAATTACAAATATTTGATGTTGGGACACATCTTTTGTGCAATCATAATACTTAACTACATGGATGCCCATATGTTTCGTGGTGTTGGTGAGGGAGGCGGAAGTTTGTGGAGTGAATTTTGATTACTTTTAGAGGTTCCAGGTACCTGGAACAGATTCTGCATCTTCCTTACTGTCAGTTATATGTGTGTTGTGCGAGGACTGATAATATGGAGCAGATACTCCGAGAGTGAAGTAGATGAAAGTGGGATCAGTGGCGACGATTCGCTGACTGACGGGCGGAATTCGCCAACATGGTTGATTGTTTGAAAGTCAATAAGTTTCTAGTTGAAAAAAATAAGAATTAAATGAAATAAGTTGAACGACTGATCATTACAACAGACATTTGATAGTCTAATACTTGGCTTCAGTGTAGATGTCGTGATGAGAACAACACCAGTCAGAGGTCATTGAAAACCAACCAAGAAGCACCGGACACCTACTTCTTCGTCCTTGTTTGAGACAATCCGCTACTGCGTCGGATTGGTGATAAATAAATCTGTGTATGAACATAGCCAAACTTTCGTCTATTTAAGCGTACGTTAACAGAGACCATTTCTTATTCACTCAATATACTGACCGCATGTTCATCATTTGCAAACATATGAAAGTTGACACCAAGTTTTACTGGAAGTTTAAGATCTCTGCTATTCCCATCCGACTTTAGTCAGACGACCTGTAACACTTCTATCATTCAAACACTTTTGTAAATTACATAAATTGGTATTGTAATTTAGTTTGATTGGGCCTATCCTGTTGTTGAACTGAACTCAGCTCAACTAATACTGTTATGAAACAATAGAGTCATTATAAACAATATCTTACCTTTAATATTTGTGTTTTGTGACAAACAGTATAGAAGTATATTCAATATTTAATAGTCATATCATTATTAGACTGACTTTGCGCACATCGTTGTGGATGAGTGATCGGTCAAATAAATTTCCACTTATCCTATGCCCCCTGAATACAAAACTTTTCTACTTGTATCTGGATTGATGGTTTATAGGCTGACGGTATTGACGTTCACCGATATTACGACGTATACTAATGCAAGATTTAATTCGTTCCGGGTAGACAAAATGTAAAGCAAAACACAATAGTTGATCGTCCAAATTATAAGATATATTTCGAGACGGAATCGGAGTGCGAGGTGATTGCTAAGCCAGCTAGCTAGCTAGGGATCGTCCATGAATGTAACACGATGGACTACCAGATGGCATGGATGCTTGACCGGAAACCTTCAGCTAAACAAGTTGACTTAAACGGTGAACGTCAGCATCCAATGTCCAGTGATGAATGCTGTGGCCAATAATTTTAGGGAATTATTTACTGCTACATTGGTAATGGCCATTGTGGAAGGACAGACAGGATAAACTTTTCCTGAATGCACGGATTAAGCTTAAAATTTGTATGTTTAACAGTAATGAAATTCCATTGAGTTTTTCGTGGAAAATAGAGCTTCAACAACAAGTCTCTAATTAATACTCTTCAATGAGAGTAGGTTTACCTTGGTATACGATAACTAAATACATTCGATATCCTCCTAATCATACTCCACCTAAAACAAAATCCTCCATTTCAACGTCGTAAGCATTACCGTCACGCCTCTCCTTCAGATTCTGGTCAACAGACTATCTAGTGTGTCATGTCTCGTAACAGTCTGCTTAGCGTATTTCTAATTCATTTTCAGGTGTCACCGCGGATCAATAAAAGCTAAAAATTCATGAGCTATAAGATTTCATACTAATGGCTGAATGGTGAACACGTTGACTGTGTGACCTGAAATTTCTTGAAATTCACCTGAAATCAGGTCATCGATGCATCCTTATTATCATATAAAATATAAATACATTTACTTAACAAAGTACCTTCATATTAATCAATAGAGAGAGACTTGAGGAATTACATCCAATTAATTTACTAGTGTTCACTAATTTAATTTAATTAATTTTTCCTTCACGTTCCCAGTGGAACATAGGGCTCCAAGCTAGTGGCTTGAAGTTTCTGTAGCAGTGTTTAATTTTTACAGGATGGGGTTGCTAGCCTCATGCCCAATCTTTCCTCTTTACCAGAATTATTTCTGGCTCAGTGAGGTAAAGGAGTGCGCCGGCCGGGGTCGAACCCCGGACCATATGCATGGTCGGTGAGCGTCCTAACCGCTATACCACCGACGCAGTGTTCACTAATGTGCATATTAATGAATGAAACCAGAAGAAAATCAACATTCTTGTAAACTTCTTTTCTTTAAAGTAAGTGAGTGAAACAGACTTGTTCTAATAAAGTATAATTATATTTCAATAGTTTACACACAATGATAAGTTTTGTCATTGGTAATATTTCGAGCAAAATTACTACTGCCCATGTTCACACCACTGTTGGAATTGTTTTATTCACACATTTATGATTTGTACTCATATATATATAGTTCATTATTATTTCTTTTGCTCATTCATGTTTTTGTATTCAAAATTATATTCTAAGTTGTTGATAGTTGTACTGAGTCATCCTTGTTACATGTATCCAACGTGACCTTAATGAATATAGATTCTGTTATAGGTCTCTCTTTCCATTTGTTCATGTTAGTTTTTAGAGTACACAGATTGTTCCAATCGATATTGTGGTTTTTGTCCCATGCATGTGAAAACTACAAAGAATGACAGATAGCAGCATAAAAACGACGATATATAGAAAAACCACATACTCTAGAAGATTCATTGATTATCACTCAGCTCATCCACTCATGGTAAAACGAGGATTAACACAAGGTCTTGCAGACAGAATACGTAGACTTACAACAAAACCAGAGGACCACTGTAAAGAAATAAACGTCCTATTCAAAGTGCTACACGAAAACAACTACCCTAAAGAATTTATAAAAAGATAATATAAAAAAGAGAAAAAAGAGGGTAAAGGCGGAGAATAACAAGATGGAAGAATGGAAAAATACAGTCACAATACCATATAAAAATGGGACATCAGAGGCAATACAAAGAAACCTAAAAATTATCGGCATTCGAACAACCTTTAAGCCGACGAATCTAATCAAAAATAAAAAAAATCCACTGAAAGATCCCATAAAAATGATGGATAAAAACAATCTGATTTACAAAATATCTTGTGCTGACTGACTGTCCAACTAAATCTGTGGGGCGAACGTCCAGAACACTCAAAATAAGAGTGATTGAACATAAACACCTAACCAAAGGTCAACCAACAGGAACACAAGTGTACAAGAATCTTGAAAAAAATTCATCGATAGCTGCACATGCATGGGACAAAAACCACAATATCGATTGGAACAATCTGTGTATTCTAAAAACTAACATGAACAAATGGAAAGAGAGACCTATAACAGAATCTATATTCATTAAGGTCACACCGGATACATGTAACAAGGGTGACTCAGTACAGCTATCAACAACTTAGAATATAATTTTGAATACAAAAACATGAATGAGCAAAAGAAATAATAATGAACTATATATATATGAGTACAAATCATAAATGTGTGAATAAAACAATTCCAACAGTGGTGTGAACATGGGCAGTAGTAATTTTGCTCGAAATATTACCAATGACAAAACTTATCATTGTGTGTAAACTATTGAAATATAATTATTCTTTATTTGATTTAATCCACAATGCTCAAAATTTTTACTGATATTAATACTGGTTCTACATCATGACACTATAAACCGTGGATCAATAAAAGCTAAACTCCATCAGCTTAAAGATTCCATGCTAATGAGTGAATAGTAAACGGCCTAGCTTTGTAAACTGAAGTTTCTGGAATTCATCTGAGATCTGGTCATCGATGCGTACTGCTCACAATAAAAGATATAAATACATTTACTAAACTAAATACCTTCATATTAATCAGTAGAGAGAGACTTGAGGAATTACATTTAATAAATTTACTAGTGTTCACTAATGTGCATATTAATGAATGAAACCAGAAGAAAATCAACATTCTTGTAAACTTCTTTTCTTTAAAGTACGTGAGTGAAACAGACTTGTTCTACAGCATTCTGATCTACGAACTATATATACAAATTTACATATATCTGCGGGAGCAGTTACTTTGGAAGGATACAAAGAAGGGTTCATATACGATTTTTCGAATATGTACCAAAACGCTTATATCTAAAGGGAACAAATGCTTTAAACAATGGCATCGCAAGGCATCTTCTTGACACGGGTCATCACGTGAACGTCGCAAAATGCTTCAAAATTATCAATAGGCAAAAGAGCTCAATTCTCCTCAATTTTGCTGGAGCCATCCATCTTTATCAAGCGCCTGTAACCTGATTTGTGCGTTCAGAAAGAAACAGGTATCAGT